AGAGTTTGGTGGAAATACAGAAACACTTTCACTTTCGTGTGCAGCTTCTTCTCTGGCAAATCTTTGTCGCAGTGCAGCCACAGACTTTGAGCCACCACACAAACCCAATCCTGAAAAGTTTCAGTGTTATAAATTATATTAATATGTAGTTTTACCTGGCGAAGGCAACGGTCGGTCAAATATGAGATGCTGTGTCTTATATATTTTGCTCTCACAATCATCATCATAATCAGTGACAAAAAATGGTCTGAAAATTACAATAATATAAGTTATTGCAATTCATTTCGGTGCAATATATTGCACAAGAAAAGATGCTTAAGTAGTAGTATTGTGACAGCCAGATCACAGTCATAAGCAGGAAGGGCAGTAGCAGGCGAGCAAGCCGTTTCCTCCGGCCTTCCTAAAAGAACCTTCAGTGCCAGACAATAGGAGATTGAATTATACTTTAGGATTGGAGGAGGGGGGCGCTTTTGTACCACGATACACCAGGGAGAGCCTTTGTGACTCTTTCAACGCCTTTCTGAGGCAGGATTATTTTTTATCTGGCTCAACAGCCAGCTGAATGAAAGATCGTTTCTATCACTTTCTATTTGCTCTATACTTTTAACTCCCCCACTCTTTCTCACCTTCCATCTTTTGTTCAATCTCTTTCACTCCAAAGAACATCTATTTATATCTTATTTGACATTCCGTGGCTTTTATTCTTTTGATGTAATGAGAAACATTTCAGTTACGCTAGGACAAAGTGACAAAGAATTCCAAATCCAACACAATTCAGTATTTCAAGAGCAGTTCACTTAGTTGAAGAGCACATTTGCATTTTTTCAGAGAAAATGTATGGTTTCTGAAATGTTCTTGCTCATAATGACTTGAAATGAAGGTTTGAAAATCAAAAACACTGAGTGACATTATAACTACAAAGACTTAGGGCTCACAGAAAAGAAGACACGAAAAGCCATGCTGAGAAATATTTTTCAATAAAATGCATGCAACGTTTTGAGTGTACAATGTGCCTCATTGATGTCTCAGCATGCAGCCAGACTACTTGAGATGCTACTGATATCATATTAAACTACAATAGTGCCAAAGTTCAATAAAATGTACTTACTGAACTGCACATCGTCCACCAAACAATGTGGTACAAATACATGCACCATCACAACTCCTAACTAATGTAATAGCAAAATAGTCCCCGTATGTGCATGTAAACCGCATTGGGTCTCCTTGCAAGATCTCGCACCATCTCATTCATTCACATCGTTGATGACGTCCGCCTTAATTGTCCGATTGCGAAAGCTTGCATTGCTCGATTTGTGGGATTTCCGGTGTTTTTTCAGTGATCGCCACCAAGCTAAAAGCTGAAATGACAACTAATGGTCACGCAAAATTACTTTGAGTGTGCCGTGACATGGAACGCTCGGGTCAATGTGAACAGGTACTGTATATTATCGCTGAATCTACTTGTATTATAATTGCTAATGTCCAATATCTCCTTGGGTGGACCAACTAACCAGCATAACAACAGACGGTTTCCTGAAACAGACACAGCCAGTATTGCTAACAATGTTTGGACAAAGGCCTGTCCCTACAAGTGGGGAGGGGATTGGTGTACCTTTTGCTACGATTCCACAAAGTTGTTGTTTCACTTCAGAGTGCTCTTCAGCATGAAATTCCAGTCCCTGGTGGTTCTCAAGTGCTTCCCAGTGAGCTATGGTGAGAGCATGAAACACACTTGGCTCTTGACAGCCTTAATTTCATTGGGTTGGAATGATTCAAGCTTTTGAAAGTAGATGCAGCAGGTACGGGACCGGTGAATTAACCACCTCGTATCCCTGCGGAGGGTTCTAAGTGAGACTGATGTCTTGAGGTCTATGCCATGAGAGCAATAGAAGAAAAAGGGATGTTCTTTTGGGAGGCTGAATGATAAAAAACAAACATTCCTTTGTCCCATTTCGCTCTACTTGAGAAGAAAGTATATAAAAATTGAAAAAATGGGCTTTTCCATATTTACATTTTTCTGCCCTTCAGCGTGATGCTGCTTTCTCCTGGTTCCATGAAACAAAAACATTACTGGGCTTAGAAAGTAATATTTCAGGTTTATATCTTGTCTACATGTCTAAGTATACATTGTCTATAAAACCGTCACAACCTCAGTAAGATATAAAGTCTCCATCCTCATGAATTAAATCTTTGTCGGCCTGCACTTCATGATGGGCTATGCTGGGCCTTTTTTTGTCACGTTGCTAATATTTTTATTAAATAAGTTTCTTTTTTTTACTCAAATGTTCCTTTTTGTTTAATTATGAAGCAAAGTATAACATTGAATTGCTAATGGGTAAAAAATGACAATGTAATTTTGGATCCCATCCTGCCTTTAATTCCAAAGGCCGCTTGAAAGCAGCGGGAATCAAGCAGATGGACTTCGTTTTTAAATTCCTCTCCCCTGTAATCTACTCATCTGGCGGATGCCGTCGGCCATAAAGTGTGTTAGCAAATCTAATCTGTCTCCATTCACATAACCTTAAATGATGGTATGTCAGCATCACCGACATACCATCCATCAACTCTCTCAGTTGCTTTTACAGCTGATTGGCAACCAGCAAAGAGGTTTGGCCTCACGTTGGCGTGACTGACTTGCAACATGGAGTGGGGTACGAAACTACTATATCTGCATATGAAATTCTGTAGAGCTAATATAAGATAATTATATAAATCCAAAGCTATTCATAAATATCTTACTCTTTTTTTTCTTGGCAGTAAGAAGACATGGTTTGACTTTGTGTGTCTGATGGGTTATTTCCTTGTTGCTGGTGTGATCGCCCATTCAAATGTGTTAGGAGGAAGAGGCAGACTTTGTGCATTGATTGAAGTGTTTGCGACAGTCTTAGTGAGGGAACCCATGCGTACATATGCTTGTTGGCACACGTCTATAAGCCAGTGTGTTTGTGTGTTGTGGATCAGATGGAAATACATGTTGGCTTGTGAACACTTTTTAGTTGATAGTCAGCAGTTTTGCAAGATGGAGACAAGGTGGGACATGGTCCCTCTTGAGAATCGCCGCCCGCTGTGTGTTGTCAAGGCGGAGAGGGAGATGATGTACGAAATCATTAGGCTCCTAAAACACCTAAAACATTTGTGTGACGTAACGCAATATGCTCCAGGTTCCGTGGTAAGGGACAGATAGAGGCGACAAAAGAGAAGAAGCAACATAGAGGTAGAGGAGCAGAACGACCTGATCGCTTGATGTTATGCATTACCGATAGGAAGGAGGAAAGGTCAATAATGTGATGCCACAGACAAAGGAGGAACCTCCCTCTCTCTCTCACTATAACGCTCTCATTCTCTGATAAATCTCTCCGGCCCCGCTGCAATGTGAATAAAGGAAGTGAAGTGATCTCTTTAGCCACAGATTAGGATTGGAATTGAGCTAATGTCTTTACATGCAGTGTCTTTAGGGGATACAGATCACTCACATAATAGGGGGTACCGCCTCATCTGCTGATGGGATTTCGAGGAGCACGCGTGCTTCGATGGTATCAAAATCCATCCCAATTGGGTAAAACTCAGCCCTATCAAAATATAGGCTTTTATCCTTCCAGTCATTTGTGTTTTGAGGAGCAGTTTTTCTGTGTATTCTATGCGGTGGGGTTCAGTTTGTCGCCTCAATTCATACATTGTACCCATTTGTCCGGGATACAGCACCCCAAAATCACCACATTCTAAATGTAGACATCAATACGTGTAGTTGTATTTAACGAAGGGGACCACTGCTGTCTAAATAATAAACTAGATAAAACCAACCAGCTCTCCTTCACACTGCACATGTCACTCTAACTGTAATTCATCACTTTGTCGTCACTCGTCACTTTGTTACTTGTTCGTTAGTGCACTTTATGCTTAATATATCTTTTTTTTAAACTTTTTTAATATTTAAAATTTTTAACTTTATTCCCTTGTTTTATACTAACCCATAGCGTTATTCTACTAACCCATTGCATTAGCATTTCATTTTACTTTATTTTATTACTTGTGCACTGCTGTCTTGTCTATTGTCACATTGTCTACTGTCGCGCACCAACCGCCAAGACAAATTCCTTGTATGTTTGGCATATTTTGGTAATAAATGTTTCCTGATTCCTGATTCCTGATTGACTACAGTTTTATTTTCTAAGCGAATCACACTAAGCCATCCCAAAAAGAATAAAAGTTGCACCCTTGATCTCCTACTCATGGCTGTTGGCGATGGATCAGAAGCTCTGGGGTTTGACATCTGACCAGCTACTGGCTGCACAAAACAAGCCGAAAAGGGAGCGAGCGTCTTTTAAGTCTGTATTTTTAAACAATGTCGGACAGCTTTCCGTAATGTATTTTTAGTATTTAGGTAGACTGACACGGTCGTTCCACTCTGAGTTGAAAGCTTGTTCGCCAAATTGATACTGTGCATATTTTGACTGTACTCTGTTAAGCCGGCCGGGTCCCCGAGGTAAACCGGGGGATGACGAGCGAATCTGCAGAGCAGCAAGAAGACGAAGGCATAAATATGTGATGTGGGTCGATGGAGGTAGAGGGGAAAAGGAGATGAAGGGAAAAGTAATCCGAAACGGGTTTACTGAAAGGTTTTTTCTGTATATCTTTAAGTGCCTTTAAAGGCTGCAGGAGAGTCTTAAAAATACAAAGATACGATTAGATAAAGTTTGAGGCAAAACACAAGCAAACCCAATGCAGAGAAACTTTTCAGGGATGTTTAAGTTCAAGGGATTGCATGGAATTTAAATGCAAAGATTAAGGTATAATGAATGGTCGGACACTTGATACCTATTTAAGAACAATAATTGTATTATTGTAATTCATGGAAATGTCCCACCCCTCGTAGCAAAGACGAAATAATTGCTTCCATGTACTTTTGGACATTTCATGAAGATTGCTGTAAAAAAGAGTTCCACACAGAACGCCATCCTCATCTCTGAAAGAAACCTCCTTCTGTCTTTGTACCCACACAGCTGGAAGTTTCTACCACCGACTTCGCTGGAAACCTCGTTGAGGCACCGGCCCTACTTGTAATCACTGTCATCGACCAAAATGACAACCGGCCCATCTTCAAAGAGCAGAGCTACACAGGAGAGGTGCTCGAGGGATCCCCAAAAGGTAGGTGACTTTGTTATACCGAAGGGCCCTGGAGAGAAATGGGCCTTTATTTGATTCAGTTGAGAGGCAATGTCACACACACTGTGACTGTGAGACTTGAGGTGTCTCTGATCCGAGGCTACGTGCGGTTATATGGATGATGTCACCCCCTTGTGTGTGGGTGGTTGGTGTGCGCTGTTGTGGTATTGGAGTCAAATGCATAAAAATCCAACAATTACCCCCAGCCAATTCGCACGGTGCCAGTTTGCATGGTATTCTCATTCTCAGGTCGAACTCTGTTGCTTTATAACACTCCTCTACCTCTATGTGGATGTGTCTCCTTGTCTCCTGGTCGCCTATATGATGTGTTGGATTGGTCAGGTGATTCGGCGAAGACATAGAAAGTCCAAAATAGGATAAAGTTTGCCTCTTTCCGAATCCGACACCTTCCCATAGGTTTGATGGGAGGTGTAGATTGCAGTGAAACAAAGTTTTTTTTTTTCTAATTCAAACCTTTGCTCTCACTACAGCAAAATTATTAATAAAAGAGGGGTTCATTTTTAATGATGGGTTTACAAACTAAAAATGGGACTACATTTGATACCTTTTGGAAATGGGAAAATGTATTGACAATTTATGTTTGACATCCCACATATCCGCCAAATTTGTTAACTTCCTTTTCTCCTTCCTTGTTTTACTTCACTGTTCTAGAGATTTAATAGGATTTTGAAAGTTACCTGGCTCTAATGATCAATATGGAGAGACTCATTGTTCCTTTACAGACTATTATTAGGAGGCTCATCACCACCTTTCTTCCTCATCTCATGGTTGAGTGTTTGAGAATGAATCGTTTTGAGGCAAAGCTGGCAGAGCACCTAAGAAGACTCGCCATCTTTTGCTGCTGCTGTAAATTCCAATGTTCTCTTCAATGCCTTTGTCCCTTTTTGCCAGGGGCTTCTTTTCCTGACTCATCACCGTTACAGTTGTGCCTTCACTGGTCTGAAATATTGAATAATTCCTTGAATGTACAGCGTCTTTGCTCACCTACTAAAACCTTTTAACAAGCTGAGGATTTTTGTGTGTTTCAGTCATTAAAGCAGAACAAATTAATTCGAAAATATACTTGTTTTGTTCTCTCCACATAGCTGTCATGTAACTCGCTGTCGTCCACCGTACAATAGTCATGTATGACGTTGGAGTAGAATTGTGGAGGCGCTCACATCCGGTCTTCACTCCCACGTTTAACTTGTTGCTGATACATGGGACAATACATGTTGATTTACATAATACACGTAAAAATTGAATTTGTAAAACAAAACTTAATACATTTTTCCCCACTGTTTTTTTGTCATGAATACTTTTACACCAAATGAAACCATGTAAAAAAATCTCTTATTTTTGGAGATTAATCAATTTTCCTGAGCTTATCTGAATGGGCAAAAAGGGATATTTTCAAAAGATACACTTTATTGTACAAAATACGAAGGCTCCCAAGTCTTAACCAAGACTGCAAACATCATTACTGCTTTCCCCCAATGAAGGCAGCGCATACTGGATTCCTTCATGCTTGGCCCTCGCCATAAAGGACTTCCCATATACACAACAAACTTTTACCAGATGGAACTCACATTATCTCCGAGCATTTTGCTAAAAGGAAAATAGCTCACAATAACAAAGCTTAAACACAGATTTACCTCAGACAGACTGCCAGACGCCGCTCTGGGTCAATAGCATCCCAACAGTTGGTCAAATCTATTTGAAACTTTCATTTGAAAAGGGCAGTTTTAAAGTGCTGCAGGTATGAATGGTTTTGAGAAAACATATTTCCAACCAAGTTATTGTCATTTTTGTATCTTTTTTTTTTTTTATTAGTCACACCAAAATGTATCCCTCTGAGCTCCACAATATGTCCAACTGCAATAGTCGCACCACGCGGCGCTAATGAGGAAGTTAGCAGAAGTCAGGTGTTACATCCTGTGTGCTCCCGCTGTTTACTTTGAACTGCGTTCCACTGATTCAGTGAATAAAAGAGCGCTCAAGGTCTCCCTACCAAGTGTTTTAAGGGAACAACATGTTGGGGCTGGCAGATCGTTTGGTAAAATATGTTGAACGTGATTCGTAGAAAGCCCGGGCAGTAAAAAACAAGAGGGAAACAAAACGCTATGCATTGCCGACTCCGTGATGCTTCTTCTCACTGTTTGTTCTCACATCATTAGCACAAAAGCCAACAGACAAAAAAACCTTAATCACCAACAGAGCTTCGTAGATGAGAGGGATCAGTCAGCAGGCTGGCAGAGGAAAGACACACACACACACAAACAGCTTCCCATGGAGACATTTTGAGCAGTCGTCAACTTCATGCTGAATTGTGTTATGAATTACTAATACAGAAATTGCTGATGCAATGGTGCACATTGGGTACTGACTGTGCAGCCGATGGTCAGAGGCTGACAAACTCTTGTTAGAAATAATACAGTCAAACTGAAAGTGTGTTTAATTGGTTTTGGTCCTGAACTAAAAGGGAATCAATGGTGGAATCCAATTGTCACTAAAAAAAGAAGTAATTCATTCGACTCCTCCGATCCTGACACAGACAGCGTGTGCTTTTACTATGATTGTCTACATTTTGGTTTGCCTGCACACTTGTTGTCAGACTACAGATGCAAGCTCTGGACGCTTACATAGAAAAGAGCCCACCAGGAGAAAGTTAGAAAGATGACAGAAGTGTATTCTTAATTTAGGATCAGACCTCACAAAACACCTGAATCATCAGAGCAGCTCTCTGCTTAACAAACTAATTAACTGAAAGCTGAGCAGCGACACATTTAAAAAGGAAACTGATATTGAATTACTGAGTCCTTAGACCTTCTGACTCAATGGGATGTAAAGAGATTTAATTTGTAATTATTTTATTTAGCGCTTTTTTTTAACAACTTGCCAGTTTGCCAATGGTTTCCTAGTCAGCAGTGCTAGATTTTTAAACAATTGTTTTTATTAAAAGTAAGATATTTAGATTGTCGTTGTCAAATGTCCATAGTTTTTGTGGTCTTTCAGGAAGTTTTATATCTTCCTCAGTACTCGCGATAACATTTCTCACTTTTTAGCGAGTTACTAAGAGTTAATCCTCTAGTCGTGGATGTGGAGACGTTGCCCATTTATACTTGAACAGTTACAGAACATCATCATTCATTCGGAGTCATGTGTCGTATGCATTCCACCAACTCCTGATGGAAGGCTTTTGTATATATATATATATACAGTCTCAGTGCTACAGTTCTCTTCTTTTGTTCACGGAAACATTTAACCTCTACCTCCAATCTTTCTCCTTTAAAGCATTTTATCCGGCCAAGTAAATAATGCTCACTGTATGTACTTATATAGAGGTTCCTCCGTATTGTGTGTGAATCTATGTGCATATGTTGTGTTAGTGTTTGTAGCCTGTGTCCATGCACCTTTTTCAAGAATAGAGTAACACTGGCTACCTTTTGTGTGTGTGTGTGTCATTTGTATGTGGGCATATTTGTGTGATTTTCGGCTGTGTGTGTGTTTTACACAGTAGCAATTGGGCAGCAGGAGACGCTCTGGGGAGGGATGTCACAGTGCTCTGACATTTCAGTGCAGACTGATAACAAAGCAGCCAAAGCCTGTCTCCTGGCATGCCCTCTCCATCCACTGTTTGCTCCTTTTCTCTTTGTTTGTGTTTTTTCTCCTGCGGTCGTCATATCTCGCATTCTCCTTTCCCTTCATGCCCTGTAATACCTTGGGTTTTCTGTCCATACCATCCTGCTCCCCCACAATTGCTGTTTTGCTACACTGCATGAAAAGTGAGATTTTCGTCCCCGTAAACGCCCGGAAATCTCCCTAATTTCCGACAATTTCCGACAATTTGCAACCGTCGCACGTCGCGTTTGTCTGTGCCACAAATTGAAACGAACCATGACGTATGTGGAGAGCTGGCGGAGGTGCAAATGGCCCGAATTAGCATATGAATGCAGCGAAACCGCGGGTGGCCGAGCGGAGCGGGCTTGAATAACCTTACTCCTTATTGGAGGAAACCACAACTTACTAACAAATAAAATCACTCGTGATTGGCAGCAAAACCACACGTGGGCAGACCAGGCTTGAGTTTCCTTGTTCATGATTGGATGAAAAGAACTTTCAATCACTCATGATTGGTTGGCAGATCTGTCGCTATTGGTCACCCGCCTCATTTTATTTATATATTCATATTATGATGTATATTCATTTCATAGTTATCCTATGTAGGCTACTACACTATTATTAGGATACCAACCAGGACATCAATGAATTTATAGAGAAAATGAACATTTGCCACATGTTTATGCAAAGAAAAAGCTTTATTAACAACACACAAACAACAACTACATACAAAGTGAGGATCTGCCCACACTTGGGTAACGGCGGTTTAAAAACTACAGCTCAGTAAACTGTCCGTTCGCCTCCTCGGGGTTGTAGACCGTCACTGGCGCCGTGTTTTCCGAGGCAGGTCTGTTGTGCAGGCGCCTCGTGTGCGTGTGGCGACCGTACAATCCACCCCGAGACCCCGCCAACAACGCCGTCCCCTCCGTCCGACGTGAGCTCTACGGTGGCGGATTTCCACCTCGTCATCAGCCAGCGCACTTTGTCTCGATTCCAGCAGCTGTAAAAACAACAATGAATCAGTACTGTGCGATGCGATGCGTACGGACACAACATATCGATCAATGCACCTGAAACAAGTCAGCAAATAAACTCTGACCGTCTTTCTTCTCGCTCGACTCCGCGCTGAATCCTTCGCAGCTTCAGCCCGCAGTGAGTGTTCCGCCTGAACCTGAAGCTCCTGCGTCCCGTCTCAAAATACGTCTCACAGGCGGCTGGAAAACAATTAAATGAGTGTGGTATGAATACAAAAAGAAAATCAAACGCAAGTCACAGTAACATTTAACAAGGAAGGAGAAACAGTATCACTTACACATAATGACGTCGTCTAAATCTGGACTTTTCCCGGAGCAAATACGAGG